GGTGTGGAGCGACCTGAGAACCACTGCGGGCCCCGCGGGCGCACGGGCTCGTCGGCGCAGCGCGGTCGCGGCCTCCGAGCTCGGCGGAGGGTTTGCGGAAGCCCGAGCGCATCCCTCCCGGGCCCTCTCCTTACTGTCCGAGTTTTGAGCGCCGTGATGAAGCCCGCCGGCCGCGTGCCAACCGACGGGATCTTGATGTGCAGTTTTCCAGAGGCTGAATTTGACCCGAACCTGTGCATCGTCATTACCTGCTGTGGACGGTGCGAAATTAATGCGTTTGAAATACAGATGAAATCTCGCTGCGGTCATTTCAAAGGACAACTTTTCCCTCAACTCAAAGGGACGCCCTTGTCTTTTGCATACTATAGATGCGAAGAAAGGGAAAGGGTGTGCCCCCCCCAATTAAATCCCTAATTGGAGGTTTTTCTTTTTAAAGGTAGCTCATGTGTTTCGCTCTAAAGTCTTTAGAAACTGGTTTTATTTTCCGGGTGTGTTTTTTCTTAATTTCGCGATTTCTATGGATTCTTAAAATGAATTAACTAAGTGAAAGTTCCTATGACTTGATCCCATATGCTAACATTAAGTGCTTATAAAAAGTTGTCTCAGTGGCACAAAAGAGGATCATTGGTTCTCAGCCTTCAGGATCTAACACACCAGTAGAACAAACAAAAGAAAGCATTCACCCCTCCACCCCGTGACCCCCTGTGGGGTGATGTGAATCTGTCCACCTACCTTAATATATATATATGCATATATATGTATGTATGTATGTATATATATGTATCTCCAGTTGGAAATTAGGCTTTGAAGAAACGTGATTCCCAAATTAAGTCTTTTCCCACCTGAGCATAAACCATGGCTGGGATTTAGTTACGTGGGCAAGCAAAGTCTTCTAAATAAATTGTAGGTCAAATCAAATTATTTCCTTTTAAAAATATAACATAAAAACAAATGTCAACCAAAGGTATGTTGAAAATCCATAGCAGCTGAATTGTGTTTTACCTTTTCAACCAGGAAGTGTGATCAATTTAGTAAGCAAACAACTAAATAAATCTTCTGTGGTTATGGTTTATCACAAACATGATCAATATTATTACATGTGTTCAAGGACATTCTTAAGATATTTTCTCTCCTATTACTCTGGCGTCTGTATTTTTCTAACATATTAACACAAAGAGATAGGTATCAAAAACTCAACACACACACACACACACACACTGCTGCTGCTGCTAGGTAAAATTCATAAATCTTAAGCTTGTAGGGGAAAGCTGTAATATGGTGTGAATTTATTTTTAAAATAAACAAATGGAGAAAAAAATATCTTGACTATCTTTACCCAGGCAGTTCATGCCTACGTATGTTCTGTAATGATAGGGACATTTGCTGATCGGACTGAGAGAGAGATTTCTGTCCCAGGAGCTCTTTCAAGTAAGAATGGGCCATTGGCAACCGCCTGCTAAAAATCGTATCTGAAGACTTTGTTTTAAAACTGGAGACCTCACATAACCTGAGTTATTCAGACAGCGTGGATTGGTGGACTGGGTAATTGTCTTCTTCTGAAATGTAGAATGAAAATCGAGACAACCTGTGTTATAGAGTCGTACACTTGAAACCTGTATGGTTTAATAACCAATGCCACCCCAATAAATTCAATAAAAAAAGACTACATGACAAGCTTGCAAAAAAAAATTAGAACACAATGTTTTGTTGACAGACCCACCAAAAATGAGAAAAATTCTTTTCATTTATCTATTTTTCTTCACGATATTGCTTTTGCAGACATCATCCCATTTGACTCTCGAAGAAATGCTGCAGATATGATTGCACGCCGAGAGTTTCATCTCTCCTACTTGTGCTTAGGGAAGTTACATGACTTGTTCATGACTCACAGAGCAAAAGGGAGAACTCACATTTTTAAATGCCTACTTCAGTGCTCTTTCCAAACAGCAGCTGTTAAAGATGGCTAACATATACATCTCAATTTTTTTTGTAAGCCCTCTCTCAATCACTCAATAAAGTTAAGCATTTTAATATTCTGAACCTCTTTCAGAATGTAACAAATATAAGAGATACTCATGAATATGGGTCAGCTCAGCCCCTAGTTTTGTTTCTGACTTTGGACAAGTTACTATAAACTTGAGACAAAGATTACAAGGCAAGTAAATTTTTCTGGAGGTGATCTCAGGAAGCAACACAGTAGTGGGGAAAGAGTCAAGAAAAACATCGAAGACAGTGGGTTACCAACCAAGTTACCCCTGTTTGCAACTGGGCCTTAATCCTGCTAGATGAACTCTACGAAGCAAGGGAATTGTAGTATCCAGCTCTAGTCAGGTATTGGTTGGGTCTTAATTTTTCATTGCTGCAGACCTGCCCCACAAGAGGCAGAGCAGACTCTGTGCCCCAGATAAGTCCTAAAGCAAAGAGTTGCAGGTGCTGACATTTGGATGTTGGGTCATGTGCATAGAAATAGTGAGTGCCATTGTATTTTCCAATTATGTCCAACTAAATCTCCCAGCCCATATACTGTGTAGTGGGGTCTTGCTACTCTCCCATCAAGAGGTGGAATCTATTTCTCCACTCTCTTGAATCTGAGTGAGCCCCATGATTGCTCTAATAGAACACAGTGGAACTGACACTATACTAGCTCCAGGGATAGGCTTCAACTGGTCTAGCAGCCTCTATTTCCCATTTTGTGAAATGCTGCCTTGTAGGACACTCTCTCTCAGAACCCAGCCACTATGCTGAGAAAATTCCAAGCCAATGGAAAGGAATGAGATTGGGACACTGGTCAACAGCCTTAGCTGTTTCCAGCTGATGACCAGCATCAATCACCAGCAATGGGAGTGAGTCATCCTGGACGTCTAACCCAATAGAGTCTTTGGAAGACATCTAACTATAACCATATGAGAGACCCTATATGGTTAATTCTATGTGCCACCTTGGCTAGGCTACAGTGTTTAGTTATTGAATCGAATAGTAATCTAGATGTTGCTGTGAAGGTATTTTGTAGATAGAGCTGACATCCAAAATCAGTTGACTTTAAGGAAGGAGATTATCCTGAATAATATGGGTGGACCTCATCTAATCATGAAAGTCTCAAGAGCAAAAATAAGAGGTTTCTTGGAGAAAAAGATATTCAAGACTGCTGAATCAACTCCTGCCAGTTTCCAGCCAATTCCTTAAAAAAAAAAAAAAAAGAATGAAAAATACACACACACACACACACACACACAAATATAATGTCTTCTGTTTTCCTGGAAAGCCCTGACACAGGACCCAAACAAGAACCACCCAGCTGAGCCCAGTCAACCCACAGAACCATGAGAGGTAGGAAAAACTCATTTGTCATGCAACAAGGGGTAATCAGAACAGGAACTGACATTGTCTACTGTACTCTGCTGCCCTGGACATCAGTTTCATCATCTCCTTGGTGAATATCTTCTTCTAGACTTACCTTGCAGGTCTTTTCAAACTTTCTTATTCTCAAATTCCTGAGACTCATTAATGGGATGGAATATTTTGTGGTGGTGAAATTGATAATACATATTTTATTAAAAGTAAGACAAGAAGAATATGAAATAATTAATGAAAAATGAAAAAGATAATATAAACCAATTACTAAATTATAAAAACTGTAGGACCTGAAGAGGTTATAGAGTTAATTAAATAGTAGGTTAAGGTGAAAGAGGCCTTATTCTGCTTTTTCTATAGAGTTACTACAATAAACCTTAAAGTGTTTCTGTAGTTTTATGATGAGGGAGCTTTTATCTGATGCTTTTGTAAAACACAATGACACTGACCTTGTCTGCAGGCTTTCTACAGAATAAGAATTATGTTCTTCAGTGATGTAGCCAAAATGTTCTGGAGATGTAGTTGACTATCTTAATGGAAATGACACAAGGCCCAATTATTCTCTTACTCTCAGAATGCCCAGGTGCATTCTCTGAGATTTGAGAAGCCACGGGAAATTTTTGTATTTCTCTTTTCACACCCATAAAAGATAATTATTTCTCTCTCTGTTCTTTTACTACCCAAAGACAATGATGTTACAATTTCCAAGATGTTCATTAGAAATGTATTCCTAAAGAGAAATTCTGCTTTAAAATATTCAAGGAAGCTTACGGAAGATATGCAATTGAGACTGTTGAAGGAAACTTGTGGGGTATTGAAAATGGGGAAGTGAGTGAGAACACTGACTTTATGCTCTAGGATTTCATGGTAGTTGTAGTTTCTCTACACACCTTCAATATAGAGTTGGCCTGAGGCTCTCTCTTCATTTCAGTGTCCCTTTTAGACTACTGAATTATTTCATCTTCTCTACTTTTTACTTAAATTCATTCCATAGATTTACAGTTTCTGCTCAGTGATCTAGAGAGCTGGAAAGAGTGTTGTTCCCAATCTTACAACACAAAAGCCAGAATATCACTAAGTATGTAATCAGCAAGTTAAGTCATTTTCTTAAATGCACTGGAGATGCTAATATCACAAGGCAAACTACTGGTCCAAAACTTAGGGTCAGGATGAGACCTGTTCATCCCTAGTCCCATGTCCCTTCAGTTTCTGAGTGCATCCACAAAGTTCTTCAAAACAAGTCATGCAGCGATAGTTGAATAGTTTCCTTCCAAGGAAGCAGTAGCCCTCTAATAAGGCTTGGAATCAGTCTTCTCCAACTTCTTTCTGTTTTAAAGTTGTTTGGCTATTCCAGGTCTTTTGCATTTCCACATGCATTTTAGAGTCAGCTTGTCAATTTCTACAAAAAAAAAAAAAAAAAAAAAGCCTGCTGAAATTGTGACTGGGATTCCATTGAATCTAGATCAATAGGGGGATAATATTTCCTCTTCATTTACTTAGATCCTTTTAATTTCTCCCAGTAATATTCACAGTTTTTAGTGTATAGAACTTTTACATCTTTTGTCAGATTTATTCCTAAGTATTTCATATTTTTGATGCTGTTATAAATGGTATTTTAAAAATTTCAACTTTCTATTGTTTGTCGCTAGTATATAGAAACACAATCAATTCATGTAAATTGATCTTTTATTCTACAAGGAAGCTCCCATAAGACTGTCAGCTGATTTCTCAACAGAAACTTTGCAGGCCAGAAGGGAGTGCTAAGAAATAGTCAAAGTGATGAAAAGCAAGGACCAAGATGACTCTATCCAGCAAAGCTGTCATTTAGAACTGAAGGTCAGATAAAGAGCTTCCCAGACAAGAAAAAGCTAAAGGAATTCAACCCCACCAAACCAGTATTACATGAAATGTTAAAGGGTCTTCTTTAAAAAGAAGGAGAAAGAAAAAAAGAACAAAAATATGAATAATAAAATGGCAACAAATACATATTTATCAACAACTGAATCTAAAAAGCAACATAAATGAACAGGCAGAACAGAAACAGGCTCATAGATACAGAGAACATTTTGACAGTTGCCAGATGGGGGTGGGGGGTGGGGTTAGGGGATGGGTGAAAAAGGTGAGGGTATTAACAAGTACAAATTAGTAGTTACAGAATAGTCATGGGGTGTAAAGTACAGCACAGAGAATATAGTCAGTAATATTCTAATAACTGTGCATGGTGTCAGATGGGTATGAGATTTTTTAGGTTGATCACTTAGTAAGTTTTATAATGTCTAATCACTGGGGTATACACCTGAAACTAATATAATATTGTATGTCAACTTAATTGAAAAATAAAAAATGATTTAAAAAATGTCCATTCTACCCAAAGCAATCTATAGATTCAGTGCAATCCCTATCAAAATACCAATGGTGCATTTCACAGAACTAGAACAAATATTCCAAAAATTTGTATGGAATCACAAAACACCCCAAATAGCCACAGCAATCTTGAGAAAGAAGAACAAAGTTGGGGGTATCATGCTAACTGATATCAAACTATACTACAAGGCCATAATAATCAAAACAACATGGTTCTGGCATAAAAACAGACATATAGATCAATAGAACAGAATGAAGAGCCCAGATATAAACTCACACCTATATGGCCAATTAATCTTTGACAAAGGTGGCAAGAACATATAATGGGATACAGAGTCTATTCAATAAATGGTGTTGGAAGTTTGGACAGATACATGCAAAAAAAAAAAAAAAGAAAAGAAAGAAAGAAAGTAGATAATCTTCTTATACCAGATACAGGAATAAACGCAAAATGGATTAAAACTTAAATGTAAGACTTGCACCATAAAAATCCTAGAAGAAAACATAGTCAGTAAACTCTCTGATATTTCTCTTAGTAATAAATTTTTAAAAATACCTCTCAGGCAAGGGAAACAAAAGAAAATTTAAAAATGGAACTACATCAAACTAAAAAGATTTTGAGCAGCAAATGAAATCATTAACAAAACAAAAAGACAACCTACTAAATGGGAGAAGATATTCAGCAGTGATACATCCAATAAGCGGTCAATATTCAAAATGTATAAAGAAACCATATAACTCAACTCCAAGAAAACAAACAATCCAATTTAAAAAATGGGAAAGACCTGAATATACGCTTCTCCAAAGAGGACATACAGATGGCCAATAGACATATGAAAAATGCTCAATGTCACTTAATTATCAGAGAAATGCAAATTAAAACCACAATATCACTTAACTCTTATCAGAATGGCTACCATTAATAAATCAACAAACAAGTGTTTGTGAGGATGTGAGTGTGCAGGAGGCAGCTGATCAATAACTCTGATTGGTGTTTCCACCTCTCCTTCTCCCTTCCTCTCTCCAAAATCAATAAAAAACATATTTAAAAATAAAAATAAAAAATAACGATCATTATCATCTCATGGTTTCTGCGGATCAGAATTCCAGAGCACCTTAGCTGGTCAGTTCTCTCTTGTGGCAGGCAGATGTTGGCTAGAGCTGTNATCATCTCATGGTTTCTGCGGATCAGAATTCCAGAGCACCTTAGCTGGTCAGTTCTCTCTTGTGGCAGGCAGATGTTGGCTAGAGGGTCAATAGGAGGTTGCACAGGGCTGAAGGACCTAATCCCATTCACGCACGTGGCTGGTAAGCTGGTACTGGCTGTTAGGACAAAGCCTCAGTTACTCTCCAAAGGGCCCTTCCTTAGGACTGCTCAGGTTTCTTCACAATATGGTGGCTGGTTTATGATAAAATGAGCCATTTTTGGATGTCACACACTGTCACACAGGTTAGCCCTGATTCAATGTGGGAGGGGCTACACAGGGTATGAATTCATTATGGATAGGAATTTTGGGGGACTGCTATGAGTTCAGTTGTGTCCCTCCAAATTCAGTGTTGAAGTCCTAAACCCTGGTACCTCAGAATGTGAGTATATTTGAAGATAGGCTCTTTAAAAAGGTAATTAAGTTACTGGATTTCTACGCTTGAGGGGTGATGTGCTGGGATTCTTTCAACTGCCAGTGTTGACACAAAGAGTGAAACTGAATCTCAATTAAGGTTCCCAATTGAGTGTCACCTACTAACTCGTCAGTGATGAGTTCATGTGACCTGACTCCTCTGAGTGGGTTGGTGAGTGCAGGGAAAGCAGCACTGATAAAGGATTGAGAGGAAGCTTAGGAAATGCCTTTGAGAGGTAGAAATAAATAATAAGAAGCAGAACATCGGCTCTTACCTCTGATGACTCATCTTCCAAAGGGACATTCTTCTTGCCTTCTGAGGAAGTGATACCAGTCTATGTTTACTGAGGTCTAACGCTACCAGGCATGATTCCAAGTGCATCACATTTAATCTTCTCAACAAGCCTGAGAGGAAAGCGCTGCTACGATCACCACTTTACAGGTGAGAAATGTGAGTCACAGCAAGGTTAAGTAATCTGTTCAAGGTCACACAGCTTGTAAGAAGAGGTGGTACTATACCACGCAGAGGGGGACCTGAGCCAAAATGCTCAACCTCTGTGTTCTACACTTTTATAGGACACAAAGGCAAGTATTTGTTGGAACAAGGACGATGCTCTGCGTGGCAGTCACCATCTAGGTGCCCCAGGAATGAATGAAGCCAACATTTCTACAAAGACACATGCCATGGATAACTGCAGATAATAAGAAGTGGAATGTTCTATACCAGGTGACCTGCCACCTTGTAAACATAAACATAAACAGTAGCCAACAAATTAAATGGTATTTATTATGCAAAATCCTTTGGTTTCAACCTCCCTGTGAGTTGTAAGAGCAGGCCTAGTGTGTCCCTTTGTTTCCAATCCTTGTTCTTAGGAGTACTTGTTGAACCCTGATGAGAAGTGCATCCAAGCGGCAAACAAGTATAAAATCCACCAAATGATTTCTAAGGAGAATCTCAGCATTTAAAGATTGTTCATGTGTGACATCAGTACCCACAGGGATGTGAGGATGCAACTCAAGAACCCAGGGATCCAGGGCTGTGGAGCAGCAGTCCCTCCCAGGCAGAACCAAGCCACCAGCCAGTCCTGCAGGGAAAAAAAGAGTACAAGGTTTTGGTGCCACAAGTCACAGGGTTTTCCTTGTTGTTTGTTTAATGAGGCTATTAGGGACCCATCTTCAGAACTAGACTCATTAATATTACATAGATTACCAGCTGTGTGACCTTGGTCAAGTCCCTTACCCACCCTGAACCTTCTTCCAGTCTAGAAAAGAGGGTGAGGCTAGATTCTTTCTAATTTCCAGCTAAGACATTCTGTAGCTTACAGGAACCCTTGCCAACTTAGGCAGACTTGATGTCCTGCAGTCCAGCTATGTTAAAAGCAGAGCTGTTTATAGAAATCAGCTCTGCTAATATAAAGGGATTTAAAAATAACATTAAAAAAGAGTGCTCCAGCAAATTAAATATTCCAAGTGAAGAACTCTGAATTTATTAAAAGTCTGTCACCATTTAGAATGCATAATTTTAGCATAAATATTCTAGAAATATTCATTTAGTTTGCTATGTGTTAGTGTTAATAAAGGGGGTCCTGCATCTAGATTTGTCATATGACACTAATAAGTCAACCATAGAATTCAAAATATAATTATTTTGAATTATCTATTTACTGTTAAATTGTATTTAATTTTAGACACTCCTAAAATAGCCTAATAAAAATTTGGGATGCTAAATGATTGCCTCATCTACTTTGTGTATTTGTGGAAAATAATTAGATATGTTAATTGTTTGGGGGATTTTTCTTTTCCTCCAAAAACTATTCTGGGTGAGGATAGACCTTAAAAAAAGTCCTAAAAACATGTTTTTGCTTTGTTTATTTGTTTTGCCGGGGTTGTAGTAAAATGTTGTTTGCTCTAAAGTCAATAATGTAAACCTTGCCTACTACCATGGGAGCAATTTGGTATAATGATTTAACAACTAAATAAAAGTAACATCAGCAGATATTAGATCCTGGGCAAGAGAGTCCCTGCCCTGGCTTCTATATGTTACAGAGTCTGTTCTGGCCCTTCTCTGGCCCCAGGACCAGGGACTATGCCTGCCTAGAGCTCACCCCCCGCCTCCACCCCCACCCCACCGCACACACACACACACACACACACACACGCCTACCACCCTGACACCCCTGCTTGAACAGACCCAAGCTCCTTTAAAGACCTCTTTCCTGGGTCCCTCCTGCAAGGGTGGCTATACCCGATGAGCACACCCTTAGGCCTGAGGAGTGGCCAAGAGGAGGCTAGGGTGGGAAAGAGGCCAGAGCTGGGACTCGTGGGCTGGGGTGGGGAGAGGCTGGGGCCAGTGGAGAGACACACACGTGGCTGGCTGTGTGTGAAGCCCCTCCCAGGGCAGGACTGAGCCCAGAGCGGGAGGGGGTCAGAGAACTAAAACCCCCCTGCCACTTTCCAGGTTCTTATGAAGGCACATTGGCCAAGGGAGGGGAGGCATTCTACTTACAACTTTTCATCTTGATTTATAATTTTTAAGTGATTTGACAGATGGTGGTATGAGGACCATTCATACTCTACTCATCCTCTTGCCCTGGGCCCGGCAAATGGGAAGGAAAGGCTGAACCACATCATAGTTTTGTATTGTTGAAGTTATATAGACTGTGAGGGATCTACCTCGCTTGCTAATGATGGGTTTACTAGTTTTAAGTCACACCTTACAAGAAAGTAAGTGAAATTAATGACTGAGAAGAGAAACCCGAAGAAATGAAGGGTAACCGATTGAAGAAACTCTATTATAGTTGCTTTTTTCTGCCCTCTGGGTTTTGGAATACGGTTGTCTTTCTTCGGGAAGCTTTTCCCACGAGTTGATGATGATGATGATAAATGATGCTCTCTACGTGCTGGGCACTCTTCTGACTCAGCGTTTCCATAAACTTCTGAATCTAATTTTCACAGAGGCAGAGGCGTGTCCCGTGGCGACATCCTCCCTGTCCTACTCGAGGGGCCCCGTTCTTCACCGGAGGCTTGCCCGTGGGCGGCGGAGAGGCAACTGGAGCCCAGGCGGCCTGGGGCCCGCGGGGCGCTGTCCACCAAGCGCGTCCGCACGAACCCGCGCCCGCCCCGCCAGCAGCCGCTCGGCGACTGCTCCCGCTCCACCAACCAGCCACGTGACCCGCAGAAGTAAACACATCCTTAGGATTTCCACGTCAGGGGCTGGTCTACGTCGGGGCGGCGCGCACACAGTTGCTTAGTACTTGTTTTGTCTTCTTTTTTGTGCTGGTCCGTTTAGCTTTCACGTGCTGGAAGGAAAACAAGTTTTGCCCAGAGCCTGGCACTCGGCACGTCCGGAGAGAAGGGAGGGCGAGGCGCGGGGAGGGAAGGAGAAAACCCACCGGGTAAAACGAATGCAATTGGATGCCGAAGGTGACCACGTGATTGCTCAGCCCAGCCCCATCCTCTGGGCAGCCGAGATCCAGGGTGGATGTCTGACCTGGCCCTCGGACACGGGTCCCGCTCCGAGGCGGTGTAGCATCTCTCCCGTGACAACTGTGAAGGGTCCGGGGGCGGGAAGACGCCTGGCTCCGGGCGCAGAGGCCTCGGTAACGAGCCCACACGCCGCCAGCAGCACCACCCGCAGGGAGCCTCAGCCCGCTCGCCCGGAGACGGCCGGCGCCCCTCCCACGTTGCCCCGCCCCTCCACGGCGCC